TGCCTTTGTATTCGAATTTGGTCTGGGGAGAAACTACGTATCTGCACGACATGAACTCGAGGCGATGGAGTGATGGTCTATGTCGACCCTTCACAAATCCCTACAGGCGACTTCCTTCGCATCGCCGCATGAGCTCTCATTCAACGCAGGCAGTCAATACTTACCAGCGGTACGACTTGGAAGTTCCAGTACGTCGCGGGAGGAGCTCGAGAACCGAAGTGAATGGTAATTACGATCAGAGACAAGCTTCTTGGACGTTGAGCCGTCCTCTTCCCTCGACATGCTAGCTCTCGCCCACCGTCGATTGGAACGATTTTTGCGGCTTCGTCCTCCAGGCTCGCTGCACGATGAGCATGTATGAAGTGTTGGGCACCAGACGTGGAGGAAGGCGATAGAGTGAACACTAGTGAGATCTACTTTCCCAATATCGTGAAGGATGCAGAAAGCATTTGTCGATGCTACCCATAATCCCCCGTTCGCCACGGCCTTGTCTCAATCGAGTCGTCAGGCCAATTTCTTGAAGTGTTGCCCAATAACTCCTCGATCATGCGTTCGTGTTTCCGCTGTTGATAATCGGCGAAATTCGCTCATCGTGTACCGTTACGTTGGATACAGTATTGTCTCTTCACCTATCGTCTCTTGGGGGGATCATTGCCAGTCTGTCGCTCGGGACAACATTCCTTTGGCGCTTTCTTTGACAGGAAACGTTTCAAGTGAAATTGGAAAACCCTCTCCCATCATTTTCTGAACATGGCCGAGTGAGTGGTTTCCTGCTTCGCAACAGAGGGCGAAGCCGTGACTAAACAAGATCCTTTCCCTGTAGCTTCCTTTTTGTTGCATGTGGTAAACGCTGTGGAGAGACGACGCGACGATAGCTGACATACAATATTAATCCTTGCGCATGTTTTGATACTTATTGGCGCCTCGGTCATCTCGGTCACCACACCCTGGCCAGCAATTCCAACGTTGGCCAATGTTGTGTGGATGATGTACAGATCTCATTGTATACACGCCATATCAAGCACTCCTTCGGTCTCTCGACGTTACATGCTCACCTTTGTCTACGGTATCACCCCGCTTGCGGGAAGACGTAGAGCAGGGCACGTGAATTTCAGAAACTCAGGACCCTGTCGAGTTCGGCTCCACTGGAACTCGGTCGCTCACTACCAACTATCCTGTCATCCGTTGCTGGATAGATCATGTTCATGTGAATCCATTGTGCAGTTTCTGCTTGACTGATCTCGCAAAACCTGACATCGCCTCGCAGGTTAATGAGCCCCGGAGCTGCGTATATAAACTCGTCGGGATGAGGCATTTATTCTTCAGCAGTGCCTCGCTTCCTCCTTCAGCAACTGTCTTCACACCTTCGTCAGTGCAGCGCACACTTTCTTTCATCCTTCACCCTTCACCTGCACATCTTTACTTCACTTCTCCACCACTCTTCACCCGAGTCCCATCATCATCTTAGGCAGTGCCTTTGCAACCGACCCCGACACTCCCTTTTACAAACCTTTACTTCTCTTCTTCTACTTTTGACAACATGAAGGGTTTCTACCAACTTGTTCTTCTCGCTGCGGCCATCCAGGTTAATGCCCACGGTGTTCTTACCGCTGTTACTGGTGCCAACGGAATCACGGCTCAAGGCTTCGGCGTCGTCGCGACCACGCCTCGTACTGGGTCGCGTCGTAACCCTTTCCAGCAGGACTCAAGCATCATTCGTGATCGTGAGATCCAACGAGGTACAACAGGTGCTTGCGGACGAACGCTCGCGGGCGGCAACAACAATGTCCAGACTATGCTAGCCAGTACGTCTGACGTCAATGTCCATTCCTTTCTCGATCGATCTGATATACGGTATTAGCTGCCGTGTCCGCTGGTCTGCCCATGGCTGCCGCTGACGGCTCAGTTACCATGACGCTTCATCAAGTTAACGGCGACGGCGCTGGGTTAGCTTCCACCTTTAATCCCATCCTTGCTACGCACTAACCATTGTCTTACAGCCCATATACTTGCCAAGTGTCAGCGGACGCCTCGGGACAGAACTTTGTTGCGATGACCGTAACAACTCAAGTCCCAGGCACGAACTCTCGCAGCAGGACCACTGCCACAGCATTCCCCCTCGTTGCACGTGAGTACTTTTAGGTACTCCCGGGATTTAACGTCCAGAATCTCATATTTTTCTACAGAGATGCCCGCCGGTATGGCTTGCACTGGCGGTCCCAATGGTGACGCATGCCTTGTCCGCTGCCGCAATGCGGCTCGCGCAGGACCATTCGGTGGCTGCGTTGCTGGTGAGCATACATCACCTCTACATCCCTGGCACTAGACGCTTATCCGATCTTCTATAGTCACCACTGCGAATAGCGGGAACGCTGCTGCTGCTGCCGCCGCCGCCGCCGCCAATGCTACTGCCAACGCTGCCGCGGCAGCTAACGCCAACGCCAACGCCAATGCTGCTGCCGCTGCCAATGCCAATGCCGCAGCAGTTGCGACTCCTGCCGTCGCCGTCGATGCCGCTGCCGCTGCCAACGCTGCTGCCAATGCCGCCGCAGGAGCTGCTACGGCTACTCCTGCCGTGGCCGCTAACGCTGGAGCCGCTGCAAATGGCTCTGCCATCGGTATCGCTGTAAACTCCCCTGCCGTCGCCGCAAACGCAGGCGCTGCTGCCAACGCCGCCGCAGGTGCCGCCGTCACTACCCCCGCCGTCACAAACACCCTCGCCGTTCCCGTCGCCGCTGTCCCCGTTGATGACACCGCTGCCACAACAGGAACAGTTGCCCCTGCTGTTGTTGTGCGTGCCATTGGCGAAGAGGCCATCCCTGACATTTCTATTGAGGAAGCTGAGCTCGCACTTGCTGAAGACCTCGAGCGCCGCGAAGGCGAAGAGGTCGATGACGTCTCGATCGAAGAAGCTGAGCTCGCTTTGGCTGAAGATCTTGAACGTCGCGCTGAGCGGGTCAGCCGCTCGCGCATCATTGGACATCGTACCATTTAAGGAGTTTTTAATTTAATCATCTCATTATCTACTCTCTTGTGGACTCGATTGATTAGTAGTAATGGACGGACTAAAACTACAAGATAGCGTATGTGTTAAGTCGTTTAGACTTGTTTCGCGCTATTTGTATGTACTATGGAACAAAAAGAGTACTTTTATTTCAAAGAGGACCACACGCTTTGTAGGGGTTCCATGGACAGTCGTACTCAAGGGAGCTGGTGGGATTTCATAACTTCGTATGCATTAAACTATTACAGATGGACTTCAGCAACGACAAGAAATAGTAGCAGCCCAGTGTCTACACTCGTTGTAGGAGGGGAAAGGCCTAGAAACGACGATATACAGGCTTCCATCGCAGCACGTAACACACAAGACATTTACGTTCCTTCAAGCTGGCCGAAGTGAAGCAGTTCCCGGGCAAGAGCCTCTGACACCCTGCGCATCGGCGGTCAACATTGGTGACTGGGGAATATGCCAAGATGTTCAAAGGGAGCAATGGATGCTGCCTGTAGATATCGGATCGTCGGGGCTTTTCGTCGCTCCAGACAGAGACGTAGCGCTGGCTGATCTCCTCCAACTCGCGACCGAGTATCCCTCGACGCTCGAATTCACCGTAGATAAGCTCGATGAGGTATGCATCGTAAGCGGCATACTGGAGGTACTGGACATTAAGTGGTCGTTGCAGCCACAAACTGTGATCGACTATAATGACCATTGAATTAGAATGACCCTCACGGTAGATGGTTGGGAAAGATCGTACCTTTCGCTTTGTCGCTGTAGATCAACCCCAACTTTTTGGCGCAATGATCGAGAGAGATGATGTTATGAACATCGACGTAGTCTGAAGGGCGAGATATCGCCCGCGATCGCAACCAAACTGGATAAAGGCGGACTTGCTCAAGAGGGGACTGTCCTTGAAGGACTCTCAACCGAATCTCGGCGATCTGCATGTCCACAGTTTTCCCCAAGGTGACGCCGTAGGTGTGGTGCAGCTCGCAGAAGTCCTTGCGGCCATCGAAGACGACCTTCACTGGCGCGTCAGCTCTGAGGAGGTCAAAAAGGGGGGTGAGGGTATCGACAGGGAGCTGTGCGATATCGACGATATAAGTCTTTGAAGACATCTTGCTTCCAATGGGACGCAGGATCATGATGGATAGCGCTCCTTCGACTTCTCCAAGATCGACTCCTTCAAGGTCAAGGACGACGTGGCTGGCTTCTTGCAAATGGCCCACGGCCTCCCCAAGGCCGTCCTTGGAGTCGACGAGGGTGTACTGTTCGGAGAGTATCATAATTCTGAGAACAACCTGGATCAGTCGCGAGGTATACGAGACACGATCGGACATTACTTACCCGCTTGAACGGCGACTTTAAGAGCTCGATGGAGAGTCTGAATGAGTAGTACTGCAATCGATGTCCTTATATACAACCGGCACACGCAGACAGTCCCCTCTAACTCACATCTGAGAATAGAGCGTAGGCCGAGTGCCCATGGATCGCAGGAGGAATCTTCCTGCGGAGTATACTAGTATGAGTATAATTGAATCTCAAAAGGTTGTCCGCGAATCGTAACAAGTTACGAACCTATGCCGTGCAATGATAGATTCATAACAGCTTGCGGTCGTTTTTCGGCATATTAGACAAGTTGATACTTTGGAGAAAAAAGATTTCTGACATCGCGTGAGGATTGAGGTTCGGCCTCTGACCAAGGAGACTATATTCAAACTCGAAGGTGTAGGTCAACGTCCCCGCAGCCGATGGTTTAACTTGTGTATAACCCAACCATGCAACAGCTTGGAGATTCGTCCGACGCTGTGTGCAGATCGCTGAGGTAACTTTCTAGGGGCGTTCTTCGTTAGACCCCGGAAACCTCATCGCCACGCCAACTCAGCCCTAAAAGCAAAAGATCAAGGTAAGTTAAGGTTGACTCGGACATAGGGTAAAAGAATTTGAAGCTTACTTCGCGCGATCGCGGCCCAGGTATGGAATCAGAGCAAGCCATTTGTAAGGCGCTATGGCCGAGTGGTTAAGGCGAGAGATTAGAACGACCCGTTCAATCATTCAGCGTATCTCTTCCGGTTTCCGGGCGCAGGTTCAAATCCTGCTGGCGTCGTTAAATTCTTTTTTGGCATTATGTCAATCACAATATCGTATATATCTCACTTAGAGGTTGAACGTTGAGCACTCACCACCGAATTTATCCCCATCATTCCTTAATCAACTCTAATCTAGGCTCGCCACCTTTTTGCCACCTTACGGCAGGGCGTACTTACAGTGGACCATCCAGTGTCTGGGTACCATCTGTTGCTATAGCAATTACGACTCTCACCAAGGAAGGATTGATAGTGACGAAGGCAAATGTGTACCTTACTCGGCCCCCAAGCACCGAATATCGTCACGCTGTGAAGAAGAAGGATGTGAGTTACCAAGTCGTCAATCAGATAACCCTCGCGTTGAAGGCAATTAACAGGGCATTACTGACCTCTCGGGGGTGCATCTCGAACCATTTGATCATGTGGAACTGAAGCCCCGGAACGCGCTTGTTCTGACGTCCTCCCCATAATTCAATCCGCCTTGCAAGGACCGCCTTGTCTACTGGAGCCGGCCAAACATGAAAGGAGAGGACGTAGACGCGAAAACTGTGCTTCCAACGCCTTTGCTTCCCCCTTCAAGACGATGTTCCGGTGCCATCACTCCTCGGTACCGCTTTTACTGTAAGTCAGAAACCTGTCGAGATAGTTGAATCATCCCGACCTTTCGAAGTATACGCCTGCCCCGGAGGAACTGCATCCTGTTTGGACCTCCCGGCTGGGACCTCCCGAGTGCAACATCTTCGCCTTCGCCTATCGCCAGTGGGATGTACAATATATTCTTCCGTCACAAATCTGACTGTAGCTCATCTCGTATAATGGGCGCAATGCGAAGGTAAGTTTGCTGAGCGTGTCAATCCGCCTGGCGAACGATATACTCACTGCCACGTATGAACGTCATGAGTACAACGAAGTTAGTACCCACGACAGGAAGGAGGTAATCACCAACTCACTCTAGGCAGTTCGCAATGTGTCTTTGGTTCGGCCAGCACTACGACTACTCCGCCTGCGACATTCCCGACATTCCCCACCCGACAGGCATCATTATCTGCTCCTGTCCTGATGCGTCGTATCCTCTAGCGTGTATTCTCCCATCGCATTGGAAGTAACTCGGAAGAGACACTACATACATCGTCAATCAGGGAACCATGTCTTGGCGATGCCTAGAACAAATAAAATACATGGTATTACCGTACGAGTACACGAAGGACGTGGCGGTACTGACCTGTCGGACGCCTGTGCCTGAAGGATCGACGGACAAATACGTCTTTGAACCGACAATCCTCCTCTAAGTCTTGGACGGTTCGTGGTGATATAAACTGAAGACTCTAACCACCCTCGTCGCACGCCCTGCCATTCTATACGATGAAGCTGATTCAAACCTCTCTCGCCGTGTTGTCGATGTTAGGTGCTTCGATCGCGGTGAGTGTTCACGGACGAAAGCGTGGACAGAGTTGACGAACTGCTTATGTGCCCTTACCCAGTGCACGGAATCGACCAACTCGACCGCTACGCCATCTTCATCTCCTCCCCTGGGATCAACGGGGACAGCAACGTGCTGGACGGTGACTATAACGCCGACGGCGACCCCAACATACATCCTCCCTATCCCAGATGCTGTACCATTAGTGAGTCATCATCGTTTTACGACATGGATATCCACGCACCTCATTCTGACTTACCTCACCCCGGATAGTACCAACAATGCGGCGGTAAGTCGAGCTTGATGCTTTTGCGGTTGCTTGCGGACTAAAATCCGCGGTCTTGCGTTTCGCAGGAGAAGGATACACGGGACAGAGCGTGTGCGTCCCCGGGGCATACTGCTATGAGTATAGCCAGTGGTATTCGCAATGCCTCCCAGTCGTAGCAACATCGACGGGCACGACTCAGCCGCCGCACACAGCCGTCGTTTGCACATAGTTTGGCACTCCAAGGAGAGTCATACTGAGGCAAAATGTCAATATATCCTGATAAGATACGGTATACACAATACAAAATGTTTACTCTGTTCGTACGGTTCCTTGGGGTGAACGGATGGGTCTCAAACATTGAAGCAAGGTGAGGCTTCAACTCGCCCGTGCGACGCGTCGGGTCCCATTTCAGAGAGAAGCCGCAGTACACCTACAGAACGTAAGGAACTAGAAGCAGATCAGGCTACGGAAGACTAACCTTAATCTTGTTCTCAAAAGCACATTAATTCTTATTCTGAGCAATAGGGATCTTCTGAGAATACGAGAGCTTTACGAAGCGATCAGACGCACCAGTGATATCCAGATTCCATAGAATTATGGAAGAATACACAGGATGGTTAGAAGTTGCGCAGCGCGCAGCACCGCAGCTGCATACCATTCAAACTTCGTCGTAGTTCATCTGTCTTCTCTCCGACGAGAAACGATATCACATCACTAGACCAAAACGGTGAGACTCCACGACACCTTTGGGACAAGCACTTACCACATCTTGCTCATCAACCGGCATCCGCTGGCCGAATAGACGAATCAAAGACAGTCTGCGTTCTGATCAGTGCCCTCCAGGCAAGGCTTAAGATTGAATCGCTGTTCAGTCGGATCAGAGCTGAAATATATGGCAGGTACTTACTAGCGAACCTGTTCTAATTCAAACCGACCAGCTAAAAACAAGCTGAGTACGTGAAATCGGGTTTCGGGCTTAGCAAGTGAAATCATGAAATCCGATACGCTAGCGGTCCATTTTCGAGGAGGGTTATTGTTGGAAAGGTGGTAGTCGGAACTCACGCAGAGTTCAGCAACGCTGAACCTCACATCACGTGAGCAAGGAGGACGCTCAGGGGCCCCTGTCTCGCTCATCCACCCACCTCAACTCGACATCGACAATAGACACGAAAATTACAACAGACTTGCGGTACTGAGAGATGTGAAATAAGTCAGATAAAATTCCATAAATATAGCAACGAGATTAAGCCTCCACTAAGAGGCTTCGAGATCAGACATGGTTCCTACTACGGGGACGAAGATGCAGAATGTCCTTCGTGGTGATTCCTATGCGTGATGGATTCGTACTTGTTGCTGTACGCCGACGATTGTGCGGCGTATCCCACCGTCGCCATCGCATCCAGCTTGAGGTTGCTTCGGGAGCGAGCAAGGACTTCCGACGCGACGTCAGACCCGAACTGCTCGGCAAGCTGATTGGCATAGTTGTCCATGATCACAGCCATACTGTTCATGCTCAGCCTGTACGCCTTGGGCATCATGCCCTTCCCGAAGCGGTACGTGACGTGGTTCGAGCACAGCAGCCCGATGACCATCACCGCCAGGTGCAGCGGCACCAGCGCGAAGGCCACCACGTACCACCGCTGCAGCACCACCCGCTCGAAATCGATGTACGGCCGCTTGCACCCAGGCAGGATGCTCCGAGCGTAGCACGTCGCCGTCACCGTCGCCTCGACGAACGGGCTGAAGTATCCGCAGCATCCCAGCTGCGTCTGGATCCGCATCCGCCCCTGTGCACCGAGGTCCCTGCTCCACTGCGCGTTGATCTTGCCCTCGAGGTTGAACGTGTGCTTCTTGTAGGTGATGTACCCGGGCACGACGAGGAAGGCGAAGCAGATCCAGAGCATGAAGCTGTAGACGGCGAGGAACATCCGGTTGTTGAGCAGGATCCCCGCCCATCCAATCAGTGAGGTCGCGATGCCAAGCGAGGCTGCGATCGTGGAAGTGACTAGCTCGGGGACATTTCCGACGCGGACGACATCGGCGTTGGTCCAGATATTGAACCAGGTGAGCAAGCAGAAGATCAATCCGATGAGCGAGTAGGCAGAGAGCTGTGATGGGTCAATGAAGCGATTAAGGGTGATGAAGGCTTCACGCACGAGGACGTTGGCGACGAAGAGCAGCCATTTGAATCTGTTCCAGCGCCCTTTGGGACGACTGCGCCCGCCCTCCTTGCCAAACCAACCACTAGTCACTCCATCGTAATCTTCGTCGTTCTCGCCAGGCATGCGGGCCTCGCCGCTCCGGAATGCCTCCACGCCTCCGCCCATCTTCGGGAGTGCTGCATCACGCTTGCCCTTGCGCCTTCTGCCGCCTGGCGACACCAGCGCTGTGGAGAATTTTGAAGGAAGGTAGTTGACACTGAGTGAGACACTGCTGCTGTCGCGCACAGGGGAGTGTTCCCCGGACAACGACGACTGAGAGCCGCCAGCAGCTAAGAAAGGAGGGTTTGGGCGGTCGAGGGGGGTATTCATGTCGCCAAGCATATGCCTGGTTGAGGCTGAGTGTGAAGCAACGGAATCTCGTCTGGAAGGGCTAGTATTGGGTTGAGGATTTGTAAGAGAGTTGGGCATCAAGGAGAGTGTTCGTACAAGTTGTCTGCCATCTACGAATCAATGAAACAAGTCAGCGCTGCGGAAATTGAAGGGAGGCGAAGAAGCGAAGAGTGCCGTGATTTGCTGTGCAAAAACATACCAAATTAGCTGTCGAAGCGGACGGGGCCGTACTTGCTGTGTCAGCTGAACGGGCTCGGGAATGCGCAGGGTCGAGGTAGGTGGACCAGACTCTCTGCATGGGATATGAATACACTCTATCTACAATCGCTGAGCGCGGAGGCGGTAGTACAAGAGAGAAAAAGATTGCAGTTTCTATGTCTCCTAGACTTGATATTCCGAGTCTCCTTGCCCTGAACAGACTAGCGCAATCTCTCATACCCCTAATTTCCCCCGAACCCTCGCTACAAATTCCAGTTCCGCTGTTGCCCTCATCGTTCCAACAGTACATGGTCCCAGATAAGGAGGTATTCTTGGATTTCGGTGACTGGCTGTGATCAGAGTGGGTCCGTGGACCAAGCGACCGCCAACACTCTGTGATATTAATTGGTCATGCTCATATTGAGAAAACCACGCTAAGTTCAGTAGAGCTTTGGTAGCAGGCGGTAAGGAATTCTCTTCGCGTACTGATCCCACTCCCTCCCGAAGTGACGCTGAAGCATCTTATCCTCCACCTTCATCCGCGCCAGAATTAATACACCGTGTATCAAGACCATCTCTGTG